AAAATAATTGTGGCCGTATGATAGAAGGGCAATGGGTTTTTGGTGGCATTGAGCGTGACACTAAAAAATCTTTTTTAGTTCCTGTTGAACATCGTGATGCAAAAACTCTGATTCCTGCTTTGCATGAATGGGTGTTACCTGGTACAACAGTTATTACAGACGGCTGGAGCGCATACAGCAAATTGTCTTCTGAAGGTTTCATACATTATGTTGTGAACCACTCCAAAAATTTTGTTGACCCTGAAACTGGAGCTCACACACAAACATGTGAACGCCAGTGGAGGGATGTAAGGGGAATAATACCACGCTTTGGAAGGCGGGAAAAGAATTTTCCGGGGTACCTTGCTGAATATCAATTCAAAAAACGAATTACTGAAGCTCCAAAACGGTTACATCAATTTCTGAAGTACTGCTCAGTTCCAAATCTGCTTCGAAATGGTTATACTCCACTTTCATCGGATGAGGAGTATGACGAAGTACCTCATAACCCATTTTCTTCTAATGAGCAAAGTGAGGAACTTCAGACGATAGGGGGCTTGACTTATTTGTAATTTACCAACATAAAAATTACCTTCCTGCTGGAGGCTTCAGCACGTCATGGCCTATGGCCTTACTTTAAATCGGACAGACACTGAGCTAAGGTACAGGTCTGTGGATGTATCTGTCCATATTGTTACTTTACTTTATGGAATTAAGTTTTGCAGTTTCTAGTATTTAAGATTTACTTTACTGTACATACTGACCAGATTTTAACCCAGCAGATTCTTTATGTTACAGGCATGTATGGCTGTCCAATGGTGACTCCCCACTTTTTAGTACTAAAATAAATAACAATTGTGTTAGAAAACATAATTCTTATTCAAGTACTTGTATATTTTCCTTCAGAAAAATGGCTTAGCAAAGGACTTTTGATCTATTTTCTAAACTTAATCATCTGTCCTGAAGCTAATCCAAAAATTTTCTATTCACTTTCAGGATGATATAAATTAAATAAGTAGAGTGATCTTCTTTAAGAAGATCTTCAATTAAAAACAGGTGAGCTAAAATCTTTTGGACTATATTATTAACTTCACATATCTGCTCCAGCTTCTTATTTTGTTATATTCAATTGAAAACAGCCTAAATTGCTGTTCATTTTATTCCAAATTTTAATGCGGGCTATCAAATCTAATCAAAATTAGATTTTATAGGCAGTGTCAACCCTGCAGAAACGCAGAGACAAATTTGGAATTTGCCACTAGCAGTAGTTCTGTTTTTCTTTTACGCTTCATCCAAAACAATTATACTTATCTGCTTATATTCTTTGAGATGGACCCGGGTAATATAGGCGAAGGAGGTCAGTATAGGATCCCCTGCCGAAGGGGTAGATACCCCCGAGTGCCCCCGCACCCCCTCTGGAGAAGTTGGAGGGTAGCCACCACGCGGATGTGTTCAAGGACAACGTAAGAAAGATCCACACCAAATTTCGTGTCGATCCGAAAAACTGTTTATCTTCCAGAACCCAAAGAGTGTCAAAACAGTCAAAAACCACCCCTATGTTCACACCCCGTTTTAGAACGGGGATATATTTTAACTGTGAACGATTCCAGTCGATCGTTTTTCGGTGTGACCTCGGTGCCACCTCTTGGGAGTACGCTGAACGAGTTGTTTCTGCAGTCAGAAGCAGCAATATTTTTAGGCGCAACGTCGGGGCTGGGTCACGCGCAGGACCCTGACAATCTAGATCTAGTGTCCTCCGAGAGATGGCGCCCAATGAAAAGTTTCCGTCCGAATAGCGCGCTGGTTCCACGCCACACGTATGGAACGACCCCAGTTGAGTTATCCTTGTTCATCACAGGATGGTACAGTTTTTCAAAATGTCCAAGTCCAGTAGCCTGTGCTCTCTTAATCATGTCGAAAAGAGGTTTTTTGCCTCGGGGGTGCCTTTTGACCCTTGAATCATGTTGAATCACAGAGACTCACCGGTTGCTGGACCTGGGCGAACCAATTTTTGTAACGGGACCTCTTTTGGGGTCCATCTCTTACACAGTCAGCTGTCAGCATGACGATGACAGCGGGTGCGTGCCGATTAGGTGCGGACTGGGCGGTTCAACGCGTAATTCGGACGAGGTACCTAGGTCTTCTGTATACTGTCTCTCTCACTTTTAATGAATTAGATCGGTTCATTATGCCTGCACGTACACCTCAGACAGTTAGTCGGCATACCCTCCACCACCCAGCTTTGAGCCCAAACCACCCTGTCACGAGTTAATTTTAGTTTTAAACAGCCAAACCCAATTTCGCCCTGTTTCTGACGTTTCACGTACCCGCACCTTAAGAGCGTCGTTAGCGTGTCTCCTAGTAAAGCTATGCTCTCCCAATCACTGCGACACAGCTACACGGGGGGGAAGATAAACAGACTGGCCCCCGTAAATAACGCCCCCCAGTTGTGTGGTCCGGCATCATCGTCCCACGAGCAGCAACGGCGTGAACAACCATGAAGTTCTTCGCTCAGGTGAGGGTGGAGCGCACGGTGGGAGCCAGCGAGCTGAAATGCACCACCGTTTGCTAACTCGTTCCTTTTCCAATCATAGGGCGTTTTGTTGCTGGCAGTCGCCTCCATGGCTATGGCCCTGCCCTACGGCTTAGGCGGTTACGGCCTTGGCGGCTATGGCGGCTACGACGGCTACGGTGGCGGGTACGGAGCCGGGTACGGCCTCTCCACCTCGCTCAACTTCGGTGGCGGCGTGTGCGGCTACGGCGGAGGCTACGGCGGCGGCTTCCTTGGCTGAGTCTGCATTGTTTCGATTGGAATAAACGAGTCACGTAAATGAAACCGTCGTTTTCCCCCTCACCTTTGCATGTTTTCAACATGCGCTCGGGGGTCACGACGAGTTGGGCCTCGACGGGCAGCTCGGGGGCCACGACGACGAGTTGGGCCTCGACGGGCAGCTCGGGGGCCTCGACGACGAGTTGGGCCTCGACGTGTGGCGCCACCAGCTTCTCAAAGAGCGCCAATTCCTCTACCATGAACAACCCCTCAGCAGGAGGAACCCATAAAAAACCCATAAAAAATATTTGATAAATATACATTTTGCGACCTGTAGTTTTTGATCTTTTTAAAAGCCAATCTTTGAGCTAGAAAGCTCATCTTCGAACTCGATCTGTCTTTTCATGACACAAAACAACCCTGAAATTCCCAGATCGCTATCTCAATTCCTTCTCGAGTTATCGTGCGGACAGACAGACAAACGCACAAACCCACAAACAAACAGAATGAAACTTTTTTGGTCAGTGGAGTAATGGGCTTCGCTGATCGCTCAGCCAATACTAGCTACATGTACGCCAGACCACGTCTCGCGTAACACGCTTCGCGATATCTCACGAAACACTGTTACGCTGCGACGCGCCTGGCGCACACGTAGCTAGGCCTGCGGCGCTGACACCCGAGACGGGGTAATAGGAGTGTACATACAATTTTTCGAAATGAAGTCCTTTTAACGATTTAATCGACCATTTGATCATTTTCACCTCATTTTTGTCAAGAAATGCGCCATAGCGTCGAAACGGTACAAGATAAAGCGAAACGGACGAAATTTTTGCCCAAAGGGCTCTACTTTGACGAGTTACCGCTTAGGAACCCATAATAAAATATTTGTATATACGGTGTGTGGTTTTTGATTTTTTAAAAAGTCAATTTTTGAGCTAGAATGCCCATCTTCGAACTCGATCCGTCTTTTTCTGATACAAAACGACCCTAAAATTCCCAGATCGCTACCTCAATTTATTCTCTAGTTATCTTGCGGACAGACAGACACACAAACAGACAAACACACAAACAAACAGAATGAAACTTTTCGGGTCAGTGGAGTTATCGGCTTCGCTGATCGCTCAGCCAAAAAAGTGAAAAACCACAGGATGCAAAATATGTATTTTTTTTCAAATATTTTTTATGGGCTCCTAAGGGGTGACTCGTGAAAGTTGAACCCTTTGGGCGAAAAATTCGTCCGTTTTGCTCTATCTTGTACCGTTTGGGTGCTAGGGGGCATCACCGGACAAAAGTGTGGTGATAATGACCAAATGGTCTATTAAACCGTAGAAGAGTCTTTACATCAAAACATTGTGTATACACTCTTATTCACTCGTCTCGGGTGTCAGCGCCGCAGGCCTAGCTATATGTGCGCCAGGCGCGTCGCAGCGTGACAGTGTTTCGTGAGATATCGCGAAGCCTGTTACGCGAGACGTGGTCTGGCGTACATATAGCTAGTTAAAGTAGAGCCCTTTGGGCGAAAATTTCGTCCGTTTGGCTCTATCTTTAACCCTTTAGGCGCCACAAGGAGTTTTTCACGAAAATAAGCGAAAAAATGTTCAACTCTGCATGCTGCGTCGAAATGACGGGAAGTTGACGGGCCGAAGGCCCGTATCTTTGTGGACATTTTTGCGCTTCCCGAATCGGGTGTCAGCGCCGCAGGCCTATGGAGATGTATGCCAGGCGCGTCGCAGCGCAACAGTGTTTCGTGAGATATCGCAAAGCCTGTTACGCAAGACGTGGTCTCGCGTACATCTACCTAGTTGGCTGAGCGATTAGCGAAGCCCATTACTCCACTGACCGGAAAAGTTTCATTCTGTTTGTTTGTATGTCTGTCCTCACGATAACTCGAGAATGAATTGAGAGAGCGATCTGGGAATTTCAGGGTCGTTTTGTATCATTAATAGACAGATCGAGTTCGAAGATGAGCATTCTTGCTCAAAAATTGACGTTTTAAAAAATCAAAAACCAAAGGTTGCAAAATATTTTTTTCCAAGTATTTTTTATGAGCTTATAAAGGGTAACTCGTAAACGTGGAAAGTGGCCCCAAAAGATCTTAATGTGTTTCCTCAGATATTTGATGGTCTCTGGTGGGGTTACTCGTCAAAATGAAACCCCGAGGGGAAAATTTGTGACTAATGGGGCCGCAGGCCCATTTTCGACCCTGCCCTTTGACCGACTCGGGTGTCAGCGCCGCAGGCCTAGGTAGGTATGCCAGGCGCGTCGCAGCGTAACAGTGTTTCGTGAGATATCGCGAAGCCTGTTACGCGAGACGTGGTCTGGCGTACGTATAGCTAGTCAAAGTAGAGCCCTCTGGGCTTTGCTCTAGCTCCAACCATTTAGACGCTAGAGGGTATTTTTGACGAAAATAAGCGAAAAAATGTACAACCATGCATGCTAAGTCTAAGTGACGGGGTTGACGGCCCGAAGGCCCGAATCTTTGAGTACGTTTTTGCTCTACCCGACTCGGGTGTCAGCGCCGCAGGCCAAGGTAGATGTATGCTAGGCGCGTCGCAGCGTAACAGTGTTTCGTGAGATATCGCGAAGCCTGTTACGCGAGACGTGGTCTGGCGTACATCGACCTTGTACTTAAACCAGACACTAAGGGTCGAACCACTCACTCTTTTGGGCTTATTGGCTGAGCGATTAGCGAAGCCTATTACTCCGTCTGGTCGGAAAAAAAAATGTCTGTGTGTCTGTCTGTCTGTCCGCACGATAACTAGAGAACGAATTGAGTGAGCGACCTGGGATTTCCAGGGTCGT